TGGAAAGGAATGGGAAGGGGAAACAAAGGAGGAGGCTACAATGCTTGATAAAAAATGTACTCATTATCTTGCCCATGTAATTGTAACCCCTCTGTACAATATTTTCACAAAAAAAAACTTCCTCAATCTTGAAAAAGAGAGTACCATCAATGTGATGGTAGCCTACAGAACTCCAAATGTGTTTTTACACACTATAGTAAAGACACTAAAATTACAGAACAAACTAAGAATATTGGAAGCTGCAAAAAGAGATGACAAGTAAAGTGACAAGCCTAAGCCGGATATTAGTAGCTCAAACCTTTAATCCTGGTTACCCAGTAAGCTGAGATCTGAGAATCATGGCTCAAAGCTAGCCTGGACAAGAAAGTCTGTGAAACTCTTATCTCCAATTAACCACAGGGAAACTAGAAGTGGCACAGCGGCTCAAAGTAGTAGAGTACTAGCCTTGAGCAAAAAAGCACAAGGACAGTGCCCTGGCCCTGAGTTCAAGCCCCATGACCACCACCACCACCAGCAACAACAAAAAAGGCAATCTTATTAAAATAAGAGCCTATTTCTTAACACAGATACTAAATCTAAGGAATACATGGAAAAAACAGTTCAAGCCCTGTAAGACAACAATCGCCAACCTAGATTGTTTTGCCCAGTGAAGCTAAGTATCAATATTCAACAAAACAATGATGGAAAAATAAAAAACTTCCAGGATAGACAAAAGCTAACATAATTCATGACTATTCAGAACTGCAAAACATACTTTAGGGAATCCTACTCACAGAAGAAAATAAAAAACAGAAATATATAGGAAAGGATGAGGATAGAAGCATCACAAAAAATCTGATAAATTAGATTTCAACTTAAAATCAATCAGAAAAGACAAAGAAAGTCATTTTCTATTTAAAAGGGAATGATCCATGCAAAGAAATTTACAATTTGTAACATATATACATCAAATAGTAGCACATCCACGTTCATTAAACAAACACTTCTAGATTTACAAGCTCTGATAAACCACAACACAATAATAGTGGGACCGTTCAATACCCCACTCTCATGAATACATAAAACATCCAAACCCAAAAAATAAAAAAAAATCTTAGAATTATATGACTCTATAGATTAAATGGACTTAACAACTATCTACAGGGTATTTCATCCAGCAGTGGCACAATATACATTCTTCTCAGCAACCCATGGAACTTTCTCCAAAATAGATCATATCCTAAGACTTAAAGCAAGTCTTAGCAAATATTAAAAAATTGAAATAATGTTTTGCATTCTATGAGGCCATAATGGAATTAAACTAGAGCTTAAGAGCAAAATAATAGAACAGAAAATACACAAGCACATAGAGACTGAATATGCTGTTGAATGACATATGAAATAAAAGGAAAAATCAAAAAGTTCCTAGAATCTAATGAAAACACATCCTATCAGGACCTCTGGGATATAGAAAAGGCAAGATTTAGAGGAAAATTTATAGCCATGAATACCTACATAAAAAACAACAATAGCAACCACTAGAAAACACTCAAACATGATACTATGCTATAGTTTTGTGAGACGTTATGTGGAGAAAATAGGTAAATTACCCACGGGTCTCTTCATGTCTTTATGTTATTTCTCATAACTGTATTGGAAGTACAATTATCTTAAAGTATAGTTTAGATTAAGAATATCTTTGTGGCAGCATTGCATTTCTGTTGAATCTTCCTGCTAGAAGAAAATCTCAAGGACATCATAAAATGCAGAATCTGGTAAAGCCTAGTGGATGCTTTTATTGAAAATGCCATGAACTCTTGTACCTGACATTCATTATTCATTATTCTTCACTTACTAGAATGATTAACACAAACCCAATAACATTAAAATAATATATAAGTATTGCCTTGCCAATATTTCACTTACTAGCTTTTATTTATTTATCCCAGACTATAACTAATAAATGTAACAAATATCATCTACTTACACATTTTTCCCAAAGGTTTACTTGGTACAACATGGAGACCTTTTTTGGCTTTAACCAGATGATTTTCTTTATGAAGTTCTTCTTTTGGATTGTTGCTGATTTTGAAATTGTTCGAGTCAATGATGGTACTGGAACTGGAATCTCCGTGTAAAGCTTTGTCTTGCTCTGGTGTTGTAGGTGTAGTATCTTCTGTAAAATCTTGCCAACTATAATTCATGAGATTCTCAATCCCCACAGGAAAAGTCATTTGGTACTCAGCATATTTCTGCAATGTTTTCCCAAGTTCATATAGTATTTCAGGAGCCGTTAGTTTGTATTCTTCAAGTAGGTTCTTTTGCAAGTACATTTTGGAGAGTTTAGGACTTGGAGAAAGGCTGAGCACTCTAGGAGATTCTGAGAAACCAAGAGAATGGGACTTATCCTTTTCCTTAATTAAAGCTACTGTACCCACTCTGGTAAGCTTTTGTTCTTTTGATTTTTTCTTCTTATGACTGTAAAGAACATATGTGAGCATTAAAAACATTTACATTAATGATGTAATTTTCTTTCTAGAAATTCATATTGTTGGATTAAAATATGATTAAAAAGATGCATAATGCACAAAATGTTTTGGGGTTGTTTTCTTTTGGGGGAGTGACGATTGTGGGGCTTGGAACTCAGGGCCTTGGCAGTGTCCCTGAACTCTTTTGCTTAAAGTTAGCACTATGTCACTTTGAGCCACAATACCACTCCCATTTTCTGGTGGTTAATTGAAACTGAGAGAGAGTCTCTCAGACTTCCTACCCTGGTGGCTTCAAACCTTGATTTCTGGCACATGGCTTATAACATTATTATTATTTTTTTTTGTATAAGGCAGTACTGAGTGTTTCCAAACAGGCTTCTCAAGACATATCCCAAAGCCAGGTGCCATTGGCTCACACCTGTAAACCTAGCTACTCAGGAAGCTGAGACCTGAGGATTGCGGTTCAAAGACAGCCCAGGCAGGAAAGTCTGTGAGACTCTTATCTCCAGTAAACCACCAGAAAACCGGAAGTAGCACTGTGGCTCAAGTGGCAGAGTGCTCTCCTTGTGCTGAAGAGCTAACGGACAGTGCCCAGGCCCAGAGTTCAAAACCCACAACTGGACCCCTCTCCCAAAAAAAAAAAAGAAAATGTAGCAAGTATAGGATAAAAAAGTGGAATGACTAATTCCATTAATTCATTCATCTTTGTGAGCTTTGACACATTTCATGATTGGTAACTACAAATGTTTAATAGGCATATTCTATATAAATACTATTTGAAGAACTGGGAGCAGAGAAGTGATTAAGACCAATCCTTTCTTGAGGGGAGAATAAATAAGTAAATAAACAAATAAATGGTATTATCACTTAGAACACTGGAAAGTAATAAATACAACAAAAAAGTTAATAATGGCAGGAACAGTAGAAATCTGAAATAGATCATTTAAAAAGTCTCATTACAGGGGCTGGGAAGTTGGCTCAGTGGTAGAGTGCTTGCCTCACATGCATGAGGCCCTGGGTTCGATTCCTCAGCACCACATAAACAGAAAAAAGCCGGAAGTGGGGCTGTGGCTCAAGTGGTAGGGCGATAGCCTTGAGCTGACGAGCTGAGGGACAGTGCCCAGGCCCAGAGTTCAGGCCCCACAACTGTCAAACAAAAAAGTCTCATTACAAACATGCTACTTAAATAAAAAGTTGAAGGGGATGAAGAGCAAACTATGCAGAAAACAGAGGCAACATCTAGTGAAAATTTCCCAAGCAAGAAATGAGGCTGGGTTTGTTGCAGAATAGTAAGGAAACCATACTACTGACTATATAGCTAACATAATTAGCTAGTGACTAATCTCATGGTCAGGTTTGAAATGGCAATTCTTTGGTTTGGCAGGAATGAGGGAAGAAATGGGAATGAAAGACCAATGTTCTTGGGCATTGTATAAATTCTTACAAATATAAAGTAACACAAAAACTAAAGAATCCAAATATTTTACCCATAATTTTCAGTTAAGTGGGAAAACTGGTCCTCATAGATTTCTTTTTTCCATTTTTTGGTTTTAGGTTTCAACTAAAATGAAAGAAATGTTTGCAATTAAGATATAAGAAATGTTATGCAAAAATGAGTTGTTTTTCTAATAAGTAACTATAATTTGATGAAATAGAGGAACACTATTACCTGATCAAAGAAATAGATGGATCCAGTATCTGAAGTAGCTTTATGAGATCCCTCCATTCTCCCACGAGACCTAAGAAGAGGAGATTGGAAATCTGAAGATAAGTTATCATATCTTTAGGTGATATTTCAAAGTACTCCATGGCTTTAAGGTTTAAATGATTAAAAAAAAAAAGTTCTGGAAGCCAGGTGCTGATGGCTCATGCCTATAATCCTAGCTACTTAAGAGGCTGAGATCTAAGGATCATGGTTTGAAGCCAACCCAGGCAGAAAAGTCTCTGTAAGACTCTTATCTCTAATCCCTCAAAAACTGGAAGTGGCTAAAAGTGGTAGAGCACTAGCCTTGAGCAAAACAGCTCAGGAACAGTGTTCAGGCCCTGAGTTCAAGACCCATGACCTAAAAGAAAAAAAAAAAAGTTCTGGAAACAGCTGGGTGCCAGTGTAATCCTAGCTACTCAATAGGCTGGGATTTGAGGATCATAATTTGAAGCCACCCTAGATAGGAAAGCCCTTGGGACTCTTTTTCTTTTCTTTTTATAGGATGTTTAGCACCAGGGCTGGGAAGGTGGCTCAGTGGTAGAGCGCTTGCCTTGCATGCCAGAGGCCCTGGGTTCGGGATTCCTCAGCACCACATAAGCAAAAAGAAAAAAGCCCGAAGTGGCGCTGTGGCTCAAGTGATAGAGTGCTAGCCTTGAGCTGAGGGACAGTGCCCAGGCCCAGAGTTCAGGCCCCACGACCGGACCCAAAAACAAAAAAATAAATAAATAAAGGATGTTTAGCACCAGCAACCCTTGTTTCTACCTACCAGATGCTACTAACATACCCCTCACTAGATGGGACAATAGAAAGTGCCTCCCGGTATTGACAACTGTTCTCTAGGGATCAAAAATCATATTTGGTTTAGAACTGTGCAGTGGCAAAAAAAAAGTTTGTTTGTGCATGTTTTCTCTCATATGTGGAAGCTAAAACTAAAATACACCGGGATATGATAAATTATACAGTACTCTAGGCATTCACAGTGAGACCAGAGGAGGATATCTTAGAGAGGAACACAAAGGCACAATGCTTATGTGCATTTGATCATATAAAATTGTATTTAGCAGGCACAGCACTGATAGCTCACTGAGATCTGAGGATCACAGTTCAAAGCCAGCCTAAGCAGGAAAGGCCCAGAGACTCTTATCTCTAATAAATCACTAGAAAACCAGAAGTGGTGCTGTGGCTCAAAGTGGTAGAACGCTAGCCTTAAGGAAAAAGAGTTCAGGGACAGCACCTAGGCCCTGAGTTCAAGCCCCATGACCAAACAAAAAATAAATAAAATAAAAAATATTTATCAAAATGAACTCCAGGAAATGGAAACAAGATTTTTTTTAACTTTTTTTTTTTTTTTT